TTGTTTCTTCACGGTCGTAATAAAAAATAGGGCTGCTATTTGTGAAATATTATTGCGTCTTTCTCAATTTTGTGAAGTTATTATTTTTTTTTTATTGAAATCGTCATCGATCGACCTCGACGAATCGTACGAGATATACATAATATGCACGTTCTTTTTTTTTTTCTTCAACGTCGTCCGAATTCGAAATACCGTTTCGGCGAAACATTTCTAATCAAAATAGGAAAGCTTCAGACGACACAAAAAGCATTTTGATCAATTTGGTTCGATGTATCTTCTCGACTTACGGTACAAACCAAAAGTAGAAAATGATTATGTTTTGTTCTTGTACTTTCGTCGATAAGACGGGGAAATGTAAATATATATATATATATATGTATATTTAAAAACGTAACAAAAAAAATTAAACATTTCAATATACGTAATAATATATAGATACAAAAAAAAAATGATAAGTAAAATACTGCCTTTCGTATTTAATCGTCGTGACGTTATTCGTACAATGCAAACCATGCAAAAAGTACTTTCGATTCATGTTTTTTTTCTTCTTCTTCTTCTTCTTGTTCTTCTTCTTCTTTTAATATACGTAAAAATAAAAGCATATACCGTAAAAAAGTGTGACGTTATAGATAAGGCACATAGTTTCTAATTATAGTATAATTGATCGCAAAAAAATACTATCTTGATATTTTCGTTATCCGTAAGGGCGTATGTTATTCATTCGTTTAATGCACGATCAAAGGTTGAATAAGACGTGGACGAGAATCGCAACAGGACATAGATTATTTATATCTCGTGTCGTAAGAATATAACGACAACGGGATTAAATGGTTAGCAACGATTTTCGTCCACTCGGCTAATAATATTATTATTATTAGAAAAGCCGTTAAGTTACGCCCATCTAGGATTAAACAACGTTAACAGCAATTTGGCGTTAGAACGCACGTACGCACGCACGAACGCACTATTTTGTTAATCACGTAAGCCGAATTTCTTGAACTCTTACCTTGCTTGAAACTTTCGCTCCCTTGTCTACTATGCGGCCGCGCGAACGTTTCCTCCGAGGCTAAAATATATAAGAAATATACCTATAAGTGTGATATTAAAATTTCTTTTCATTATAGAAAAAAAAAGAACAAGAAAAAAGAATAAATTAACTTATTAAAAAATTGATTGAACGTATTATCCAAAAATTTATGCAATAGAAAATGACTAACCTTGCGCAGAAGTACTGGGCGTTGGTTCTGGTTCTCTTTTAACTCTAGGTGTTAACGATTCATGGGTTTCTGTACCATTTTCCGTAGGTTCGTCCTTTCTCGCGGATGACAACGAACTGGCAGCCAGATTGGCCGCCGCCGAGGCCGAATTAGCGATATTGTTGCTGTTGACATTGTTGTTACCGGTCGAAGAACCACTCCTATTATTGCCAGTTGTCTCACTCTGGAAATCTATACCCATTTTCATCTCCATCATCTCGGGTGAACCTTGCACAAGATCGGTACTCGAGCAAGATTGTAGATCTTGTCCGGTACTAGCCTCGCCAATTGGCGTGTCCGAGGAGCCGCTTAACTTCCTCGGCCTACCCCTTTTCCTCTTTGGCGCTGTTAACGCTGAGCCAAGAAGCGGATGGCTCGACATATGATGGAACCTCTTTTGAGATACATGATGGTGAGGTCCAATTTGGTTTATTCGGTGAAGGTTCGGAGGTGGTGGAGGTATTGTGTTTTGATTGCCAAGAAGTGATGACGTGATGCTGGGCAAGTCGCATTTGTCCTCGTTCACTTCTGTCAGGCCCTTTATCCTTAAAGATTCGGCGACCCTCAGGAAAGCAGTTAACCTATCCTGATCGACGCTCACTTCACCGCGATACATGAAGTCTAAAAGACTTCGCATGTCTACGTATGGGACGTCCTTTAAAATGACTATCGGGTGCTTATCGGGATGACCAACAAATAGGGCCTGAAAATGATATATGTCATTTTTAAGCTTTTATCCATCCCCTTTCTCGCTAATTTACTTTTCTTTATCTATTTTTTTTTTTCTATTTAAATCTTGTTAATCTTAATTTCTTGCGTCTTACCTGAAAGTAAGGACTGCACGCCGATAAAACCATTTTATGCGCCCTAAGCAACTGACCCTCGACGGCCAGTGTAACATCCACGAAAGATTCGTCATGAAGCAATTGATCAAAAACGGAGAGTAAATTGCTCTGATGGTTGTTCCAGCGCAGACAAAATCTCTGCGACGCCATCGCTTCGCTTCTCAGGTCCGCCAGGCTACCGTTAATATCCGCTAACATCAGACCTGGTGTTAATTTTTGTTCTTATGTCGCTGCTGCTGCTGCCGTCACTGCTGCTACTACTATCGCTGCTGCTGCTACTACCACCTCGTCGCCGATTATTCTCGCCTTCCTCGACGAAGGCACTCGCTCTTTCTCTCACTCGTATTCGTATTCTCTTCTTCATCGGCCACGATATATCATGCCTTATCCCCTCGCGACCTGAAATATATAAGAAATTAACCTTTGACATATGAAAGAAGCCCTTAGGACAAGAAAACATTCTAACGAATAATGATCAATCCAGCTGTTTAAAGAGTAACTATTGAATTTTTCAACGGGTTTAACGTACTCCAATGTTACATAAGTCAGCCTACTTTTCTTATCGTCACCTTGGAAGGAACCCAAACGACGAATAGACGTCGTATGTATGTGTCGCTTATAGACGCTTGCTACTGATTTACCCTATTTTACAAATTAAGTATTACTCCTTGGTACTTTGTATGGAATGTTAAGGACACTTAATGTAACGCATATCAAAATGAACAGATGAAAAATACATTTTTTCGTTCGGTTTTTATCATTTTTTCTCTTTTTTTTTTGTGCAGTAATCAACCAGCAAGTCCTCCTCTTTCTATATACACATGGAACGACGATAGCGACTGCGTGCATAATTATGCGCGTAAGCCCCCGAAGAGACGACGATGTATACGAGGTATGAACGTGGGTGTACGACCCTGGAAAACGTAGGCAGAGCGAATAGGCGACTCGCTCGGTTCGTGCCTTTTATGTAATTCTCTCCTCACCCCTTCACCGACCCAATCATGGTCACGTATGTAACGTTCGTTTCGCCAAGACTGCGAAGGCGTGGCAAAGGATGACTTTCTATGATCCTCTCGAGAACAATTTTCAAAAAAACGCGCCATTTTTAATACGATGGACAACAATCTTTAAATATCAAACTCTTGAAATCCTAATCCCTAAACTTTTTTATTACAAATTCGAATCGTTTATTAATAAGAACGCAAATATGCATAACCTCGATAATCGAGCGTATAACAATTTAGGTTAGTTTCTTCACCTCTTCATTGATATTCTTATGCGATGACACGATGGGCACACTTTATGCATTTGTTATACATATCTATCGAAGGAAACAACAACACCCTTTAGTTGATGTCTATCGTACGGAGACATCAGACAGGGATACGAGGAGAATAAAAAAAAGAGTACTAGGCACAAGCCGACAAATAAAATTCCCTTCAGGAGGAAGAGTCAAAAGTATACAATCCACGATGAACGGTAAATAGAAAGAAGAGAAACGGTATGCTTGACGCCATATTTAAAAAGATCAGCTGCAGTCACGTGAGCATGATAGATATCTTTTGAAATTCCGTTATGTGACTCAAAAAAAAAAAAAGAAAAAAAAAAGAGGAAAAAAAATAAAAGAATAAAATGGTCGCTTTAAAATGCATAGGAAGAACGACAAAGCACGAAGAAGACTAGAATCCACGTACGATGACGCTATACCAAGGGCTGACGACACAACACACAACAGATAGAGGAGAACTGGAAATGTAAAGAAGAGGTGGAATAGAAAAGGAAGGAACTAACGCAAGCTGGATAGCACCATTTTAGCAGCAACAGCCGAAGCAGCAGTAAGAAGAAGCTGACGAAACATAAGAGACGCGAAGGAGGTCAACAAAGTGAATCAATAGCATTTTTTACGCATATTCGGATATCGATCAGCCCAGGCAGCATTTAACTGATTTTGCCCGCATCTATGGATGCATATTCCTGCGCATGCATCTGTGCGCAAGGATTGTGTGCTCGCGCACGCACACCATTCGCGTATTAGCAATATGTGACCTTAAATATGCGACCTTGAACGACCTTGTTGGTTCCACGGTTTTCATGGTGATCAGTACATCGCAATCCATCACTTTCCTTATATCAAACATGCTAACTTTTACATTATCGAGGAAAGATGACTTATTCTTATCATTATTCCCTATTAAAAAATTCTAATTTTCACTCGGTTATTTATTCAAATGATAATGTTTAATACGTTGCACATAGTTGCAACGACGATGGCAGCGAGAAAAGAACGAAGGCCGCATGTCACAAGCACAAACAAATGTCCTACATATATTCTGCGGAAGTGGTACAATGCAACCAAGTGCTCTCTATTTCTCTTTCTAACACTCCTACTCTCTCTCTCTCTCTCTCTCTCTCTCTCTCTCTCTCTCTCTCTGGCGTTTGTTCACTCTACTTCTACATCTCTCATTCTCTTTTTAACGCGAATTAATTCACGAAAGTTTTTATATTACTGATGTGTTTTTGTAAGAGGGTTTTTACCACGTACAACCAACATTGGCAATATCAGCAAATTCCATCGTTTGCACATTCATAACCATTGGCTAACGAAATAATCATTTCCAGGAAAAGAAATGTGTATATATATATATATACAACGCTTGTGTGTATCGCCAACGGAAAATGAAAAAGGGGAAAAACAAAACTCTTCGTGATACGAGAGATTCAAGAAACAATTGATTAACTTCCTCTTCGGTGTACAACGAAGGAACAGGAACCGATAATCTCGGGAGTCCGTAGTGGAGCTTAGCATTTACGTAGGCGGGAATTAGGGGCGCGGTATGCGGTTTTCCTGCTCTTACGACACACCGTAACGTTAACAAGCAATATATGCCAGCCTACGACGATACAAGATTTTCTCTTCCACGAATCGTCACCATTCTTAAAACAAGGAATTAACTATTTCGATTTGATAAATAAAAATAAGAAAGAAAGAGCGAACGTAAATAAAATATTTTGTCGTTGTAGCGCACCCGATGAAAAAAAAAAAAGAAAAAAAAAACAAAATAAAAATAAAAAGAAAGAACGGAGAGAAGAAAAAAAAGTAGAGAGAAAGAATGGATATATATATTTATGTTTTTAACAGCAGGGAGGAAAACAGAGTTCTTCTCTGCGAGAAGTATAGAGGATAGAGGTTTAGCAAGAAGAACGAGCGCATGGCACGAGAATCCTGTTGCTCGCACGACGCACGTGCACCGTGTGTGTTTCTCTCTTTCTCTCTTAAACACTCACGCGCGCATGCGCGCCATGCTCGAGTCCGAACTCTATATGTGGATACATGTGTGCGCATGTGTATATGATATGCGTATGTATGATATATGTGTATATATATATATATATATAATACGTGGATGTTGAGTTGCGTATGCGTGAGACTCACTCCTCTCACGGCCACCGCGCTCGTTGCGTAATCGACACCAGCAGCGGCAGAGTCACGCTGAGAGAAAGAGAAGGAGGAGGGTTGGAGGGAGGAAGGGAGAGAAAAATGAGAGAAAGAGAGAAAGAGAGACTCGTAGAAACAGCGGTGGACAACGACAATGTACGTTACTGCTATGTTGAATACTCTGTTCCATGCTGTTACTGTTGCTGGTGCTATTGCTGTTGCTCTGGTGCTATTACTGCTAGTGCTTCTACTACGTTTTAACAACTCTATAACTCTCCTCTTGTTTTCTCTCTCTTCAACCCTCGTTTCTTCTCTTCGACAATTTAAGATTTTCCCACTCTCCCTCTACCATAATCCTTCTCTACGTCATCAACTTCCGCATATGCTTAAGAAACAGTACTAACCGATTCTTATACTACACGTCGCGCTAGTAACACCACCTCTTGCAATTTCCACTACACGGCCACATCATCATCCATATCCGTGGATTTACGTATACTTCGACTTTGAACTATCCCATTATGGACATTCATTTAGTGAATTTTAATGTTACAAATTGATACGTCATTTCAACAATTATATATAACGTCGAGTTTTTTAAGTATATAACTTCTAACTTTTTATAAATGCAATTTTATTAATGAACATTAGATGCGTTAAATGTTCAAGATTTGCAAACATCTAGATAGATTATACAATTTCATAAGTGACTTTTCTCGCTCGGTATTGTCGAGTGAAAGAGAAAGATATATAAAGTTGACGCGTATTGGTATCTCCCGAAGCATTTTGCTGAATCATCGTACAAGGATGAAAGCGCGTTAGAAATTTCTGCTGAAAATCCTAATAACAGTAGGCGTAATTAACGTCACTAGACGATAGTCCGTTTTTATATTATTTTTTTTTGTTTTTTTTTTTTTTATTCCCGCGAATAGAGTCGTCGATCGGTCGATAATGAAGAAAAGGACAATAAAAGTATGGGATTCGCTTGATCGAACAAAAACGATTTTACCGATAGGTTAAATCTTATCGACCGTAAACAAGTGTATCTGTTAGGTTTTTATATTTATTTAATTTGTATGAACTTTTACCTAGACCCTTGATAAAGAACGAATAAATAAAAATAACAAAAAGTCTGACCAAAGTACAAAAAGTAAATATGATATGAACGAGGAAAACGTGAGAAAAAGAAGAAAAAAAAAAAAAGAGAGAAAAAATATAGCTAAGTATTATAGATGAAACTTATAAATACATGTATCCAAACACATTTGATACGATGAATGATTTAACACAGTAGGAGCAGATACACGCGCACACGCACACTTGATCCTCGAAATAGGGTTGCCCCATCACGATTGACCGAATTTTAGGTTCGAGTTTGAGGGCAATTGACAACGTTGAGCAAGAGATAGAACAAATAAGGAAGATATTATAACTGTGCCAGTGTAACTCAATAATAATAATAATAATAATATAAAAATAATAGTTGCGATGATAAGAAAAGAGTACCCTCACAAAATAAATCTTTACTCAACACAGTATTTACCGTTTATCACGTCTCGTGGATTCCTCGAACTACTAGGAAGAGAAGAACTTTATTCGTCGATAGATCTATACTTTTACCTCGACTACCATTCGTTTGTACGTTTTTATGTATCATCGACGTGACTATCGAGTGGAAAATTTCAATAAAATCCCGGGACTTCGTCAGATATAGAAAAAGAGAGAAAGAGAGGGAGAGAGAGAGAGAGAGAGAGGGCATCGATAATAATCGAAGGTCGAACAATATATGTATTTACACGTATCGAGGGTAGTTGGGTGTGGAACAACACAACCTTCTCTTAATATTTACGAACCAATCGATACAAGGCGAAAAATGAGAAACGTGCCCTAAAAAAAGGGAACAAAATGTTTCTCCAATTTGGTGAGATAACTTTTATTCTCGTTCATTGGTTTAAGTACATAT